TGGTTTATATATTGCCAACCCAACCGTTAGAATTATATTCCTAACAGGTTTGTGCGTGTGAGGGTGTGTGTATGTTGTAATGGTGTGAATGTGTTTTATACATAATGTCATATACTTGACTGAGAACCCTAAATGATTTACTGTGGCTGCTAGGCCATGTGATGCAGTCAGCACTGTAACTTTAGAAATAAATGTGGATGTAGTTGCGTTTGAAAGGACAATTACAAGGTGGGCATAACCCCCCCCCCCCCAAAAAAAAACCAAGGTTAATTTTTATAGTACAGTAGAATGAGAAAAAGTAGAGAAATTTTAAGAGAAAGGTAATTCTCACTTAACCACTGTTTGAATTAACAACAGCTGCAGAAAAGTTGCTTCCAACCATCTGTTCTGATCCAGCCTTCACTAGATTTTCTGAAACATCGGTGGTAAAACAGGAGAATGACTCCAGAACAAATAAGTGAGGAATGAAAGTGCACTAAATACAGAAACGTTTGTACATAAAAAAATAAATACTTGAAGAAAGGGTGAATGTCTCAAGTGGAAGCAGAGACCATAAGTCACAGTTGGATGAAGTTGATAGGCTAGCGGCCCAGAGTCACCTTATTGGTGAGAGAGGCAGCCTGTAAATTTAATAAATAAATAAACAGAAGGCAGTGAGTGAAGTAAAGGACATGGTTAGGAAGAAGGAAAATTTACAAGCATCAAAAGGCATAGTGAAAGATGTTGGTTTCTACAGGCATTTCGGACTGATCTTTGTGAGGTTGTACTGCTCATATGTTTATACATTTATTCTTGAATAAATGGTGTGGCTTAGCTCTTGATAAAGTGATAATTTATGCTTTCATTTTACAGGCCGATACAATTATTACATTATGGAAAAATGGTTTTACAATAAATGATGGTGAACTCCGAAGTTACACAGATGTTGCAAACCGGCGCTTCTTGGATTCCATTAAAAAGGGGCAAGTAAGATTTGTATTAATGGGGTTTGCACATTACACTCTGTAGTGACTGCCCAGTTTGGGCAAAATTTTGGATGTATTGTCTACTCAAAACGTGCATCCATCCAAACTGCTTTTTTAAATGGTATCCCTCTTTGAAATATATGAAAGACGAAGTAATAAAATGGCATTCCATGTTTATTTGCAATATATGTGCTGAAGAGGTGGGATGTTTCAATGGACAAAGTATGATATGCTGACATTTAAATTTAAAACTGGTCTTTTATATGGAGATGCTTCATTATTATACAATATATGGAAAAAATGGGGAGAAAAAGCTGAAAACAAAATGTTGGACTATGATATACAAATAGTCCTTGACCTATCATTGCAATTGAGCCTGAAATTTCCATCATTAAGCAAAACAGTTGTTAAGTGAATTTTGCTCCATTTCTTGCCACAGCTGTTAAGTGAGTCACTGCAGTTGTTAAATTAATATCCCAGTTGTTAAGTGAATCTGGCTTCCCCATTGACATTGCTTATCAGAAGGTTGCGAAAGCTGATCACATGACCCCAGGCAACTGCAACTGTCATAAATACGTGCCAGTTGCCAAGCATCTGAATTTTGATCACATGACCCACGAGGATTCTGCAGTGGTTGCCAAGTGTGAAAATCAGTCATAAGTCACTTTTTTCAGTACCATTGTAACTTCGAACCGTGCCTAAATGAATGGCTGTAAGTTGCAGACCACCTGTATTGGTTTTAAGTAATCAAAACAATAATCTCTTACGTTTCAAATATTTCTCTTAGGGAGCTGCCTCACGAGTTACAGAAGATCTGTGACAAAGAAGAGGTGGATGTGAAAGTGGATGATAAGAAGGATGAGTTATATACATCACCGAAGGCAGTATTTCATCCTTTCTCTGGAGCAGGGTATCGATTGGGAAGGTGAGCAGCTTCATGCTTTTACGGTAGTAATTGAACCTGGCTTATGAAATGAATGGAGGTGATGGTTTTCTTTCATTCTTCTTATGCTTTAATCCTGTGCCTATATTTACTTTTGAGTAAATCCCAAAGAATGCGTAATGTGAACAAGATGGCACCTGGATTTTTGGATTTTGAAGATGACTTCTGTAGGTAGTTCTCACTTTACAACCACAACAGGGACCAGAATAGACACATAGACATTAAAATCATTTATAGAGTATGTAAAAAAGACCGTGACCCGTCAAAAGCGCGAACGTCATAAGCGTGCCGACAACAGCACGCCGACAGAAGCGCGATCTCATTTAAGGTAAGATTTACAGTTATGGTTAGGGTGAGGTTTAGGGTTCTGTTACAT